TATTGAACTGCAACCCTATCAACCTCCATCAAGCATGGCCAGTGATAAGAGGTGATAGGAATTGTAGTCCAGTGTTTTTAGGGCACTGCATCGACTTCCTTTGGTTTAGAAGGTTTGCGTTGGGCCCTGCACCATTTCACAGTGTGTGCTGGTTTTGACCCTGAAAGCCTTACACAACTTGGGATCACCATACCTAAACAACTTCCTGTCTCCACCTGAACCTCTCTGGACCCTGAGATAATCATCTGCAGTCCTTTTCTGTGTGTGCCCTTTGAGAGAGAATTGGAGGGTGGCAAGAAGAGAACGTGAATTCTCTGTAGCATTCACCCCATTTATGGAAAGCTCTCTCGTAAGCAGGTCTGCGTGGCACCAACCTTGTCATTGTTTCAGTGACAGGCAATGGCATTTTTGTTTTCTCAGACATTTGGGAGACACTAATGATAACAGTATTGTGCTGTTGAATCTGCTTTTTGTTCTTTATTTAGGTTTTTGTTGTATTTTTTTTTGTAAATCGCTTTAGTGGGAAGTGATTTATAAATTGAATAAACCTAACCTGATGTGACCAGATCTGACCTAATCACTGCAGTTTTCTTGCTTTTCATCTTCTTTGTTGCTTTATCTCCATTTATGAGGGAAAGGGTCTTTCAGATGTGGTTGGCACCAAAATGCCAGCCTGCATTTCTCACCCATTTAACCTGGATGAACCCTTTCAAGCAAAAATAGGATAAGATTTTTTTTTAAAAAAAAAAACCTGTTAACAATCATCCAACATCTAAATGATATCCTTGCAATATTAAGCCCCTGACTAGAAACACCCAGAGACAGATTCTCCACCCCACTGCATGATTGTTTCTCCAAGATAATTTTGCAAAGCAGAGATAGCTGGAAAGTAGATTCATCATGTCTCCATGAAATGGAATTTTGAAAGGAGGAGGAATGCAGAAGAAAGGGGAAATTAGCATATTTATGAAGCCAAAAGGAACACGAGGGGGAAGCTCCTGTGGCCAGAGGATGCACACTGGAGTTTGCCTTCTAATCTGCGGTGTGCTGGCTCTTAATGAATCAAAAATCCCTCTTCCTCCCTTTCAATGGAAATGGAAGTGCATTGTTCAGAGCAGCAACCAGGCAGATGCTGTCAGCTGATGGAGTATCTCACAGAAATTGCACTGGGGTGATACTTACCTTGGTAAAATGGCCCCTCCCTTTCCCCCCCCCCCTATCAGCTTATTGTGTGCAGTTCTGGCATCTTTCCTGTTCTTTAATTTATGAGCCCCATTTTGGTATCTAATTATTCATTGCCTCCTTACGTTAGTCGGTAATTTATCTCCTACACAGAAATGGTTCTGTCTGCGTCGGCCTTCATGATGGCTCCTGTAATAAAACTTCCCGCCACCAGCGAACAGCTGAACTGGGGGTGGCAGACACAAACAGGACAATGTTTTAGGATTGGTTTCAGACAACAGTTTTGCTTTTGGTCAACCAATCGATTATAGAATTTTGTAGCACCTCAGTTAGGCATATAGTATTTTAGGGAATCTTCACTACATTGTTTGCTTCATGAGGTGTGCTGACCTGTGAGCACCTCTTAAACCTGGCCTTTGACACTTGAGATGCATATTTTAAGACTCAGCTTATTCTAGTGATTGTATTTTGTTTTAAACTGTTGTGACCCACCCTAGGACCTAAGGGGGAAAGGGTGGACCATAAATTACTATTTTTATTAGTAGTAGAATCATAGAACTGTAGAGTTGGAAGGGACCCCAACCCTCTGCAATGCAGGAATCTTTTTGCCCAATGTGGGGCTTGAACCCCTGGCCGTGAGATTAAGAGTCTCATGCTCTACCAACTGAGTAGTGTTACATTTAATTTATTGAGGCCTTTAAACCAGAGATCACAAACCTGTGGCCCTCAAAATGTGGCTGAGTTACAACTTCCATCAGCCCCAGCCAGCCTGGCCAATGGCCAGGGATGGTGGAATGTCTTTCAGCAACATTTTAAGGCTTCCATTGCGTTAGGCCTTCCATCAGCCACAACAACTCTTATTCCCATATTTACAACTGGAGGGCTCTGTAGAGGTACATTCTGCAACTCATTTCCACTCCAGCTGTTCATTAGAACAACATGTAACTAAGAACTTGAACTTGAGTTTGCTTATTTCCTCCTACCTTCCAATCCATTTTCCTTCGGTGTCATGTATTTTTACATTGTAACCTCAGGGACAGGGGCTATCTGGGGTTTTGGGTTTTTTTGTGATTTGTAAGCTACCCAAGGAATCCTTTTTGGTTGAAGAGCAAACATTCCCTAACATAAATAAATAAATAGCTGGCACCACCATTGAGCAACAGACAAAGAAACAGGTTGAACCAAATATGTGTGGTTCAGGAAAAAAACAAAAAACTAATATATGTGTTTCAAAGGTCTAGTTTTGTCTGTGCAAGGAAATAGCATCATCGGGATATGTCAGGAAAGTCCAGTACTGAGAGCTGGTGTAGTATTGTGGGCATTGAGAAGCCAGGAACTTCCTGCTTCAAATCTTGCCTCTGCCATGAACTCACTGGGTGGGATCCTTGGGCAAGCCTCTCTCATACTCAAACCCCCCCCCACACACACACATCCTGCTGCAATATGGGAATAAACAATGCTGTTTTTCTAGATAAAGAGGTGTTGGAACTCACTATGAACACCTCCCTCATTCTCTTAGAATGGCAATGGTGCCTGAGAGGTACCAGAACTGAGTTCTGGTGAGTTCCGGCTGAAAAAAGCCCTGGGAATACATACCTAATAATACCAAACTACTTTTAAAGGTAGTCATGAAAGCTTTTGACTAGTCTGAAAGGCTGCTGCTGCTGTTATCGCTAGTCTTCCTCTCCATCTGCTTTGTTGGACTGGCTGTAAAAAGCACACAGCCCAGTCATTCTTCAGCTTCCATTTTGTGCTGGCAAATACAGTGCAAACTTCCACAAAGGGCTTGACTGCAATACAAACAAGGAACCAAGCTCAAGACTTAGCCAAGACTGCACTATGGCAGGGGTGGAACTTCAGCCCAGCTCTCATGGATTAAAGACTTCTTCTTTAGCCACTGAGTCATACCACTTGTCATCTGAGTGACCACTTGTCACAGAGGACAGATCCCCTTAACATCCATCTAAACCTCCATAGGAACTAATCAACTAATTGCACTAATAATGTAATGCATTTGGGTCTTCTGGAGATGGATTGACTCTCTTGTTCAAAATCCACCCTGCCATTTATGGATACTTGCCATCACCAGCATCTTACACAATGTACTTCCTTTTAGAGTTTCAGAGTCAGGTGGCAAATTTCAATAAGCTAAGAAATGCAAAATAAATGTGGTGCTATATCTGTTTAGCTAGAATCGAAGGCTCATATTATATCCCCCCCCCTTCCTAATAAAATGAGATATACGTAACAAACTTTAATATCTCTCTAATGTAAAGAGGATAGAATAAGAGAACAAGAAGAACATATGTTTAAAGAAGACTGAGAAATGTTTACTGAATATATGGGGAGAAACTGTGTACACTTGAAAACGTTGGCAGCATTCAGTTAAATTCAACAGTGTAAATAAGTCTTGATGGATGTAATAATGGAATACTGAATGGTTTGGTTTATGTAAAATATGCAGGGATTTATGATATGTAAAATGAACCATGGAAGGAGAAGAAAGGAAGTCAATGATATTTTAAGGATGTTTAAATGAATATTCTAAATTGTAGAATTTAGGACCAAGAGACATGGATAGCGAGGGAGCTGCTGCAGTGACCTGCAAGACCTGTGCCATGTTTGTCTCCTTCACTGGAGGTTCTTAAGCAGATGTTGGATGGCCATCTGTCATGGATGCTGTAGTTGAGATTCCTGCACTGCAGGGAGTTGGACTAGATGACCCTTGGGGTCCCTTCCAGCTCTATGATTCTATGAAACAGCACTACCTTTATTTTGCCATTGCTTCTCTGCTTTAAACAGCACTTGCACTGTCCACTTTATACCTGTTCAGCACAACCTATGTTCCAATAATCCAAGGATCCTACAGCTGCTGTTACATCTAAGTACACCTACAACTGGATTAAAAGTATAGTCTCTCGACAGAAACTTTTCTGCCAGATGACTGAATCCACAATTATATAATCAGGTCAGGCCTAATAGATTTGTGCTCACAATAGCATTTTATCTGGATGGATGAAGTAGCCATTTTATGTGGATCATCTTTATTGTACAGAAAAATGGAGGGGAACAGAAGCTTCACAATATTGCATTATTACCTGTGCTCTGGTAGCATGGCTAATCATATATATATATATCCCTTTGTTCCATTGTGTGTGAAAACAGAGGCTCTTCATTCGCAGCGTAGCTTGGTGGATAAAGCACTTCTTATTTATTCATTTTCATTATCGTCGAACAAAGCCCACTGGTGTGTGTGTGTGTGTGTGTGTATAATCTTAAACTTAATTGCAGCAGGGAAGGTAACACTTCAAAAGAAAGTAACAAACAAATGTGCCTGCTAATATTTCAAAGATCTATTTATTATATGCTCCTGGTTTAATTTTATGTGAGAATGCTTTGAGCATTTTTTAATTTGTAATTATTATCCCCCCCAAAAAAACCCACAATAACAGTGCAGAGCTTCTGTTTGTGTGGCCCCCTCTCCTCATTTATGGAAAGTAATGCATTTCTTTCTCTTTGTTACTGAGGGTATTGAAAACTCCCCTTTATATTTATGCATTTGGAATTCCTTGGATAAAAGATGTTAGAGTGCAGCAGCGGCACGATAGTGACTGTGTCTTCCCTGCAAGGCTCTGAACTTGCATCAGAGCTCAGGTTCCTTCTGCAGGGTGGTTTCCTTGGTGGAACGCAGCTGGATGGTGGAAAGAAGAGTTTCCACGGGGCATTGAACAGAGCGAGAGCAATGGTAGCAATTCTGGGGAAAGATTGTTCAGAAGTATTTTGCTGTGTCCCCCAACCCCCTGCCCTCACTCCTCCAGGTATATGAGAGCTCCTCCAAAATGGAACAGTTTGTGACCCGCTTCTTACTTCGCGAGACGATGAACCAGCTGCAGTCCCTGCAGGTCTCACTGGAATGTGCTGCAGACACCATTGAAGAACAGGCTGGCCGAGAAAGGTACAAGAAATGGCTTGGGGAGTGGGAAAGAGATGTAAAGTTAAGGTAAAGGGACCCCTGACCATTAGGTCCAGTCATGGTCGACTCTGGGGTTGCGGCGCTCATCTCGCTTTATTGGCTGAGGGAGCTGGCGTACAGCTTCCAGGTCATGTGGCCAGCATGACTAAGCCGCTTCTGGAGAACCAGAGCAGCGCATGGAAATGACGTTTACCTTCCCGCTATTTATCTACTTGCATTTGACGTGCTTTCGAACTGCTAGGTTAGCAGGAGCAGGGACTGAACAACGGGAGCTCACCCCGTCGAGGGGATTCGAACCGCCGACCTTCTGATCAGCAAGTCCTAGGCTCTGTGATTTAACCCACAGCACCACCCACGTCCCTAAAGAGATGTAAAGGCGCCACCAAAATCTGAGGAGAAAGGTTCTCTGGGCATGCCACTTCATGTGATAATGGTCTCAGAGCACTCCCTTCCTTCCTTCCCTCCCTCCCTCCCTCCTTCCTTCCTTCCTTCCCTCCCTCCTTCCTTCCTTCCTTCCTTCCTTCCTTCCTTCCTTCCTTCCTTCCACGTCTCAAACCAGAGGGATAGGCTCCATTCACGTGTGGAACTTTATTTTGCTTCTGATATTTCATCTGCCCACAAAGTCAATAGGGACAGTGGCAGGACTGGAGTGGATTGTGCAGTCTACCTCCAGCATCCCATTCTGGCCCAGGGTTTCTCCCAGTCCCCACCATTTCTGGGAGCAGCTCCTGCATTTCCTGCCTGGTTCCTCTGTTCTGGAAGTCAGAGGAGCTGTCACATAGACGTTCAGTTGCAGAGACAGGAATAATACGTAATTGCCACCAGGGAGAAGCAACCCACAGGAACTGAGAAGAACCAATATTTCATTCTTATTCGATCTGATCTCCCAAAGTGGATACCACTTTTCGTATCCTTGAAGTTTTCAGAATTACAGTACTAGTAAATAATACAATGCTTTAGAAAAAGCCCCCACAGATTTTAGACCAAGAGTGTACTTAGGGTATGTCTCCTTTGTGCTCCTGCCATGAAGAATGAGGGGCCTTGTTTGCAGAAACTCACACAGCAGAAGTGACTCTTAGCCATGTATTGCTGGCTATGATTCTCTTTAGCACTCATATAACCCCTGTTTTATTTTCAGTTTATTTTCAGGCCCAGTTTAAGGTTTAAACCCCTAAATGATTTAGGCCCCTAATATCTGAAAGACTACCTCTTTCCCTACAGTCCCTCCTGGGTGTTAAGAACAACAGAGGAGGCCCTATTCAGAGGGGGGGGGGGTTGGGGGGTGTCCTGGGAGAAGACATTCTCTATGGCAGCTGTGTGTGTCTGCCACCTTCATCACGCAGTTTTTGGTGAATGTTGAAGATACATCTCTTTACCCCATCTATAATTTAACTGTTTTTAATATTGAATTTTAAATTTTTGCAACCTGAACTGGGACCTGATGGTGAAGGGCAAGTAATACATTGAAAAAATAATACAGTTGTTGTTGTTGTTGTCGTCATCATCATCATCATCTCATTTTGTGCTTTTTAGGAAGGATGTTACCAAATCAGAAGCTTTTGTTGGTCCACGCACTGCTAAGAGATGTGGCCGTAGAGCTCAGAAGAACATCTGCTTGTCTCCGACAGATCCTTATTCAGGGATGCTCACCACAGGTACTGGCAGGTTTCCCATCCCTCTTGTCAGACTTCACATTGATATGAGGCTGGCTGCTTCACTGCCAAAAGCAGAGGGTGGCTTCTGGAAAAAATAGGGTATAAAATGTCTGAATGCAGTAAGAAAGTCTTGTACAAATTCCCTGGCTACCATCAACAATGGCCTGGTGCACACAGCCATAGGCATCACCTGGTTTCTCATCACTTGAGTACTATTGACATTATTACTACTACTACTACTACTAATACTACTACCCATCCATCTAGCCACTCTGGGCTGCTTACAGCACATATAAAAACATAGTAAAACGTGTTTACATGTTTACTCCCATGTAGAGTGCTCACATCTAGCAGCAGAGCAGGACCATGCTTCTAGTTGCACCCCTCCCCACCCCACCATTGCATCATCTTCCTATCCCCAGAACTTCAGCATCTTGAGCACAGAGGTCTCATGCATATAATAGAGGCCCCTGATGCAAATGAAACATGCATAAGGACTCCACGCATCAAGAGCAGGACTTGAAGCACAGCCCCACTCCTGTTGCTACATGTTAGTGTCCTCCATGTGAACGAACACATGAACAGGGCCTTGGTTACTCAATGATCTGGCGACTTGGTGTGCGCTGTGTTTCGAAAAAAGCATGGTCATGAAAGGTTATATGGAAATTCTAGGTACAGAGTTTGATACACGGGGGCTTATTCATGCAGGTCGCCATTTGATGCTGAAGTCAGCATGCGAGGGACACGAATTATTTATTTACCTATTTTAATAATTTATACAGCACTTAATACTGCCATTTCTAAGTGGTGTACACGAGGGATACAAGAGGTACACCAAAAGGTAGGCACACTTAATGCCTTCATAAGAAGAAACACTGTGCCTTTCTTTCTAATGAATTGCTGCAAATCAGGAACAAGGTAGACCTTAGACTGTACTACAGCACTAAGATCAGAGATAAGCCTCTGCTGCTGTCTTTAGCTATCCTTTTACAGTCAAAGAAGAATCTCTGATCTTAGTGCTAATCTCCACAGCACTAGGACTGGAGACAAGCCCCTTATGTGCTCTTTGATAATAAAAAGCAGCAACGATAGTGGCTTATCTCTAACCTTAGCACTGTGCAGTCAGGTGACTGACAGATGGTGGCCACACCCACTTATCAAAATAGCCCACGAGGCCAGGCTAATTCTAGGTCAGGCCTTCCAGCTTGATCCTTTTCCCCACCCCACCCTACAGGGAACTGCCTCCAGCCCACATCTCTCAAGTAATGTCAAGTAAAAGAAACACCTGATGTGATATCATCACTTTCTGCATTCTCCACCCCTTTCACTCCAAATAACTGGCTACTGCTTTCAAGGGTCGGGGAATGCTGGGTGTGATGTCACACCATGCAAGTGGCAACCACTCAGTCCATGTGACATCTAGTTAGGCCCTGAGGCATCGTTCTAACAACAAGCCTGGAAGTAGCTTGAAAGCCCATTTCTGATCTGTGAGCCAACACAGGCCAGGGCTCTCCCATGTTACAGTTTTCATCACAACACCAGCGGTGTAAGAAAGTACATTCACAAATGAAAACCTATCAGAAGTGGTCATGGCTATTTTCCAGGCAGAGGTCCCGTCTGTGTTGCAGGACAAAGCACATTATTCTTTAAGTTTGCAACCACAAGGAAACCATTATGGGGAGGGGGAAGGGGAGAGAGAGAGAGAATGGAGCATTGCCTTCCTTTGTGGGCTGGAGTGGACAATGCCAAAGGGTCAAGGAGGAGTAACAAGCAAACAAGCCTAATTTGTGCTAAAATGAAGGAGTGAAGGTTTGCCATGCCATCCATCTGTCTGCTGACACTACAGAAGTACTCCTTATCCGCTGAACTACAGGCAGGAGAAGACTTTGCATGATTTCAGCTCCTCCTTCTCCCTTTTTCCCATTGCATCCAGGTGTTTGTGTGGAAACTGACAGCCAGTGGACAGCTGAGATCGACCAACTACAACAGCTTATTGACAAACTGGAATGTAAGGTGGGCCAACAGATGGAACTGGTAGTAATAATACATGATGGAGATTCTGTGTAGAACAGAGATGCATTTTCCCAAGATCCTGGCTGTTTCTCAGGGCATTTGGATCTGGTCCAAAATACAACTTAGTTTGCTTTAATATCATCTCCTGTTGGGGCAGTTCAGGTTCTCCCTAGACATATCTGACTGAATTCTCCATCCTTCGACCAGGGAATCTTTGAGCATAAAACCCTATAATCAGGCACCACTTTCCCAGCCTCTCAAAGTCAACTTGCCTACCAGCAAGGGTTTGGAAGATTTGATTATTTTTTTATTTTATCCATTAGGCCCCACTTTTGTACCTTTTCTTAGTAGATTATGCTTTAAACCCATCTTTAAGCCAGTTTTAAACTGTCACAATTACCAGTCAAGGGACCCTAAGATATGTAGTTATAGTAAGAGGGGAAAGTACAGAAATAGAAATAGTCAATAGAAATATTGCAACCTTTCTTTTAAGGTTTATTGCATCAACCACAGCAACCAATATTAACCAACCAAGCCTGAAATGTAAATGGCTTATACATGTTGGGCCCCATTTTGTGATTCTGATGTGTTTCAAATATATGTACATGCAATGCCTGCCTAATACAATATGAGTTGGAGATCCAGACATTGCTCCTGCTGGTAGAAGAGGGTAGGTGACTCCTGGCCACCCCGCTGTAACCCACAGCACCACCTCCCACACTGTTTCAGAGGCTTGGGTGAACCCTGGAGGATTGAGTAACTTGGCAAATGTTGCCTCCCTCCACCTCCCAGCAAAATCCTTCTGTTGAACCACAAAGGCTGAAAGGAGCCTTTCTGTCTGTGGGAGGTGCAGTCTGGATCCAACCCAGAGTCTGTTCAATGTACAGCATCATATATATTTCAAAACAAAGTGGCAGTAAAATCCTAAATAAAGTTCTGTCCTTAAACAAAATGGTTTTCTTGTGCCCTTTCCGGGATATTCCCAGGGCGAAGACAAAGGAATAAAATAGGTTTTTATAGAATTGTTTATGGTGCCAGGAGTCCCTTGTCTCCAGTCATGTATAAAGAATGCTTTATACTTCAGAGGGAGGTGATGCATTCTCACAGCTTATATTAAGGTCCATATTCTTTCTGCTGAAATTGAACCTAGCCAAAACCCTAGAATGAAACAGAGAACTAAGGAGCATCTCTAGAGGGTTTTACTGTGAAATATTCCAGAACGGTAGCTGTGTTAGCCTGTTGCAAAAGGAAAAGAGAGGGGGGAAGGGGAAAGAAAGTCTTGTGGTATTTTAAAAACTAACAAATTCATTATGGCATAAGCTCAGTGAAGTCAACCGTAGTCCACAAAAGCTTATGCCACACAATACATTAATGCATATATTAACATGTCAGAAAAGTTTGTTCTTTCCACTTTCCAATCTTTCTGGGGAAGGACCATATCTTAGTAGCAGAACATCTGCTTTGCATGCAGAAGGTGCCAGGTGCAATCCCCAACCTCTACAGGTATGGCTGAGAATGTCTCCTGCCTTAAATCCCAGACAGCTTCTGCCAGTCAGTGTATACTCAGTGTATACTGAGTGAGATGGGCCAGTGGTCTGACTCAGTATAAGACAGGCTCCCTAGGCTCCTATGACATAGGTTCCTATATACCATTTGACTCACTTCCTCGGGTTTTTTACCATTCCGCCTATGAAAGAAGATGGGACTTCTCTGCTGATGAGATTATGAAATATCCTCCTCATTACCTTGGAGCTGATTCATATATGCATGCTCGTCATTTGCAGCTGAAAGTGTGAACTGCCTCTGTTGAAAATCATTGTGTCCGGAGATAGGAAAGTTCTGCCTATGGCGTGTGGTCTCTTAAGAGTGTTCCATACGTATGAAATACCATCTGATGTTACCCTGATTCCTACACATTACACTCACCCGTAACACATTCTGTGAGACATCAAATAACCAACTGCTAAAACTCCCACTGGTTTATGTCTGTATACCAATAAAAATGGCTGGTTTTGCTTCTGGGAAGAGCTCAGATGCACACAGGCTAGACCCTAAAGGGAGTGGGATTCCAAATCTGAAGAGTCTGTCATGCTTCTTCTCATATATTACATTGCATCAGGCCAACTTACTAGGGTTTTTGCTCTGACATACTTCTATGTAGTGCTTTTTTTCTAAAAAAAATAAAAAATGTTTAGGGGTACTCTCATTTTGACTCAAGAAAATAACCATTTTATAGTTCAAATCGGGGAAAAATAAATACAGTAATTGGACAAAAGTACAAAGATTCACAAAATGTTTAGGGGTATGCGTACCCCTGCGTACCCCAGAAAGAAAGCACTGCTTCTATGGCAGCCAAGTCTTGGTTTGTAGCAACTGTGAATGCTGGCAAAAAAAGGGCAGTCATTAAGTCAATTATACATTTCACACTTTCACATTCATTTTCCTCCTTTTGCAATAATTGTGCATTTCTGTCTACTCAGAGTCCAAGGCTGGAACCTCTGAAAGATGATGTGGTCTGCAAAGGAAGAGATTCTTCTGTAAGTTTAATTGTGACCCCTCCATTTATTTGATAATCAAAATGAGCAAATCCTTCAGCCAATGTGCTTGGGATACTTTAAAATACTGGTGGCTACAAAAGAAGATGATTTAATGACCAGATGGAGTAAAGGACAGGGCTCCTATGCCTTTGAGAGCTGCGTAGAGGAAGGGCTTTTAGAAAGAGCAGCTTTTTATATCACAGGGCAACAAGGGTGAGAAAAGTTGCCTCCACCAGATCTTTCTCTTCTGCCCAGGGCTGCCAGTGGTGTTGCAGTCTAGTCCTCTAGTACAGTGTTTCCCAACCGGTGTTCCGCGGCACACTAGTGTGCCGCGAGATGTTGCCTGGTGTGCCGCGAGATGTTGCCTGGAGGGAGGCGGGCGAGGGCGTTTGCTTCCCGGAGGATGGAGCGAGGGCGCCCCCTGCTGGGCCGGGGCTCGCTCTCCCCAGAGGGTAAATCTGGATCAAATGGGGCGAGGGGCGGGCAGAATTCTGGGGGCCACTGATGCCCTACAGACCCCCCCCAAGTCCTCCGGGGCGCGCGCTCTGCTGGGCTCTTTTCGGTCGTCGTGCTTGTGGGAAGCCGCCCCTTCCCTGGGCGACGCGACGCCTCGCGACTCCGGAGTCAGTCCTGCGGGCTCTCGGAGGGACTCGCGAGCGACGGTGCGGCGGCTCCGGGGCGCGCTCAGCCGGGCCGCCGTGCGCCCCCGCGCAGCCCCTGCTGCAGCTGCCCGGCGTGGAGCGCGACACGGAGCCGGCCGGGCTTGGAGGCGCCCAGGTAGGGCCGATCCGGGCGGGGGCGGGGAGGTCTCGGTCTGCTGCGGGCGCAGGAGGGCGAGCGGGAGAGGGGGAGCCGTCGGGTCTCCTGGAAGGAAGCGAGGCGGCGGCTGAGGGGGATGCAGCCCCGTCCCCAGCAACAGGCGCTCCTCGAAGTGAGGCCACAAGTCGGGGCTCGGACAGGGCCTGGAAGCAGCGGCTCCGGCTCTTGGGAGCGGAGAAGGGGACTTCGAAAGCGGCCTGAAGGAGAAAAGCCCCGATGCAGCGAGAGCGGGGAGCGTGCTGCCTTGTCCAGGCCTCCTCGCTTTGTGCCGTCCGCTGCCGGGAGCAGGACACGGGGGCTCCTCGTTCGCATGCTTTCCCGGGTGATCGGTGAGGGTTAGGGTTAGGGTTAGGGTCCCTCAGTCCCTCGCTTTGCTGCCTCCTCCCCCCCCACCCCCAAAGCTTGGAGGTTCCCCGGCAAGGGGGAGGGAAAAAAATTGAAAGTTACACTTTCGTGCGTCCCTCCCGGCGTGACGCTGCGCGCTGACGTCACGGGGCTGTAATGGTGGTGTGCCTCGAGATTTTTTTCATCAAACAAGTGTGCCTTTGCCCAAAAAAGGTTGGGAAACACTGCTCTAGTACTTGTGATCACTCAGCAAGGGAGGCTGCTAGTTCCAGCTTGTGGCGACATGTTTATATGGCAGCCTCTGCCGAAGTTTGATCAAAACTGACATTTCTAAAGCTGTCAACCTTTGAGAAAATATGTGCCATTACAAAAGGGGACTCCAGACTGTATTTTGCTGGAAGGACTCAAGCACATTCCAGGAAATGTAGGTTGGCACAATTACAGTGGATTAAAGCATTCTGTTGCTTCAGTACAACAAATTCACATTAAGAAATAAATAAATGGGCTTTTTGCCTTTAGGATAGCAATGGTGAAATGTATTGTAAAGCATGGGAATGAACAAATGAGTAATGGGGAGACATCTAAATGCCCCACAAACACATCAGGATGGATGCAGGGTGAATATTCACTGTAGTATAACCTCTCTGCAACCAAACCAGAACAAATGTGCAATAAAGACCAAAAACAATTCAGCCTCCATGTAAGTTGCATGCAAGCAAATCAGGACGAATGCTCAATAAATGGGTTGTCTGGAGGAGCCCAACAAAAATTGCAGAAGCCACAGTGTGTCTTTAAATGAGCAGTTTTTTGCATGAGTTTTGAACTAAAACCATACCTAAAGTGGGTAAGTCATCTCCCAGGAACAATTGTGTCGTTCCGAGAACTTTGCTCACTTTGCATTTCTCATTCATGGAGCTTAATCAATGTATGATCACAGGAAGGGCTCCAAAACATCTGCCATAGCCTTTGCACAAAAGAAAGGAAAGGATGGATGGAGGATGGATGGATGGATGGATGGATGGATGGATGGATGGATGGATGGTCCGGCCAAATGCATGCTAAAAAGTGCTCTGTGCCAGTTAGAGATATGCTGCATATGATGGGGAGCTATAGTGCACTGTCAATGCTTCTGAGATCTCTTGTTATCTGCATGCTCTGGATCAAGACTGCTGGAGGGCACCATGCCAGGGATGGTTGCTTCTTAAGCAATAATACACACATTTTCCTGAACTATCTTTCTCTCTGTTACTCTTTGTTTGTCACCGGTTTCTTCCAGAAAGTTGCCAAATCAATATAAGTGGGTGTTGCAGAACCTGTTTGGGTGGGTGTGTTTCTAGGTGGAATGCAGTCCTTAGATACAAAGGGCTGCCTTTGATCATAGGGATATTGCATGTAGCATACTGGAACTGGGTCTATAACCCCTCATCATCTCTCTTCCCCCTCCTGTCTCTGCCACTTTCTGCAGCACATCCTGGTGGCACAGAGACAGATCTCAGTGGCAGACAGTGGATTAGAGGCGTTCCGCCAAGCTCTCCAATCCTACACAGAAATCACAGCCGGACAGAGCAGCTGCCTACAGTAAGTCTTCCAGAGTTTGACTTTCATAGGCTGTTTGGATGAGAAATGTTGTTAAGAACATCAATTGTGGCTTTTGTCGAACTCTCCATCTTCAGGCTATTAATTTTAACTCACTCTCCCAAACAGCTTAGTGGTATTATATAGAACAAAGATACAGGGTTGCTTTAGAGTTATTCCTGGAAAAAATATATCTATGAACTAAATTGCCCACCTAACATCCCCCATAAAGTAGATGAATGCTGCACTACAAGATACAGACTCATTACAGGGAAATATTATTACTCTTTTTCTGTACAGATGGCAAAACAAACAGAAGCACAGAAAGAAAATTGCACACTCAGATGATTGTGAAAGCAGACTCTCCCCCCTTTCCTAGTTCTGTAATTATTTTGCTGTTGGAAAATGCATTAAGAAATTGGAAATGTATTAGTAACCGCCTGTATTTTACTTCCAAATACTGGAAAAAAACAAAAGCATTCATCATTGAAACAGTGAGAAAGGAAGAGTCAGCAGATTAAGTTACTGAATTAATGAACATACAGTAATAATAATAATAAAAATCTTTGGGAAGGTATTAGCATTAATCAATTATCTTCGTGGGAAAGTTGGCACAATTTCATTGTTTGCTGGAATTGGCTGTGTGATGGCAGTTCTTCAAGGCAGGATATGGTCTGAAGGAGCATGAGACTATGACCTTGCTGGGTCTGAAACTATAGGAGAACCAAAACACAGTCATCTTTCAGAAGTTACACTTATATAAACTTTTCTCTGCAGTTCTCCAACCAAATAATGTTTGGAGAAATGCATATATTTGGAGGAAAGCATGCATAGAAATGAATATGTTAGTGAAAATAACAGGTGGTTGCTAGCAAAAATGTGTACATTAGCCAAAACTGCACACAAAAAATGTTTATTAGCAGAAAGGCACACCTAAAATGCTGAAGCATTTTAATGAGGATATTTAAAAAATGAAATTTGCAAAATGCTGCAGAAATGCGGAGAACCGAATCTAAGATTGGAAAAAAGAGGAACTGGGAGATCTGAAATCAACAAATCCTTTGATCCCCAATCACCAGTATCCCCCAAAATATTAGGCTGATTTATCTGTGCCTTGACCTCATCACAGTCACCCACATTCCACATCACTGGCAGCTCCCACTGGCACGAAAACAACATGGGTAAATATGCCTTAAGACTCATAGGAGAGTGGAAGGAAACTTGACAAGGGGCTACTATTTTTGTCAGCAACCTGGTATGAAGTATAACACCCAGTTCCATTCAGAAAAGGTTCTGTAAACAGATTCTATTTAGTAGAGTTTGAGGCTAGTATCAATTCTTGTGAGTGAAGAATATCGGCATGTCCAGCAATTTCATTAAAGTCAAGGTGACGTGGAAGGTCAAAGCATCAGATAAAAAATTCAATGTCTGCTAGTCTGCCGAATGCAGGCTGTGCAAAAAAATGGGGCTGTCACAACAAACTAAATGATCCTTTGAATAGCACTGGCAGTTCTTAAACATCCTTGTGAAGATGGTTCAAGAGCTAGGCTGGCTATGAATCCTGGGGTCAGAGACTATACAGTATCTGACATGTAACGATAACTTTTTCCCTCATGGCCTGTCTTCTTTTCCTGTAGTGTGTCTGCCCACAAACTGTCGAGCGATGCCTGCTTCATCCTCTATGAGTTTTGGCAAGATGTGGCTTCATGGAGAAGGTTGGTGGCTCCTGACAATTCATGCAGTATTTGTGGGGAGACCAAGTGGTGGGGGGAGGCCTCAAAGCGGATGTCCAGTTAGCATGGGCCTGTACTCAGGGATGATGGGAGTTGTAGGTCAGCAACATCTGAAAGGCACCACATTGGCTACTCCTAATCTCAGAAGTCACCCATAGAAGAAGAGGTTCCATAAGACTTGCCTCTTGTTACCACCTGATATAGATATAGATATTGATATAGATATAGATACTGTCCCAACTCTACCCATTTCTTTGCAGCCACCTGCAATCAAACTACAGTAAGAAGTTTCAGCGTGCCATTATTGACTTATTGGACTCTCCAGAACTTTTGACCACCATGCTCTTTCCAGGTTGAGTACTGATCGATGTAGATTTGCAATTTTGCTTCCAATTTTGCTTTTTTTTTAAAAGTGCATCAGACCTAGAGGTGAGAAGGCCTGGAAAAAACTGGAAAAATGGGGAGGGGACCAGTTCCCCCCTTTTTTTCCAAACTTAAAAAACGGCTTTGGAAAGGGGGGGGACTGGTTATTTCCCCAATTTTTCCGGGGGGGTTTCCAGGCCTTCCCATCTATAATCAGACCTCTTAACATTACATCAGAAACAGGTCACATAGTGTGTCTCTATTCTGATCTAAAATTTATTTGGCATTTCAGAGCTGTGTTCCATATATCATGGTCCTTAGAATAAGGTGTAGTTATTCTTGCAAAAGAAATTCTTAAAATTTTTTAGACTAAATTGTAGCCCAGTCTGTCCATTTGAGCAAGGCTGCTCCAAGCCATTTTGGCACCATAATGGTGCCTTGCCCTCTGCACCAGGGAAGAAGGGGTGGGGGGAGATCTATATCAGGAACAAATGCGGGTGGGAAAGAAAGATGGACATCGGGTTCTCCTGTTCCAGTGGACCCTGCTGCCTAAGGTGATCACCTCACCATGTCTCATGGGTGGGCCGGTCTTGCATTTGAGTTTTGTGAACCCCTTGTTTTTGTTTCCTCAGCTTGCTGGTGGATCATGAACAATAACTGATCTCCCCATGGCATTCCCTCAAGGCAGCCAGCATGTGGATGGAGCAAGCATTCTCTTCGAAAGACAGCCTTCCTTCCAGGGTTGTCCTCCCACCCTCTTCAGTGTTGCTTTTCTCATCTATATTAATGTGGAATGCTTTTACCTTCTTTCCTTCTGCAGCTTTAGGAATGGGGCGGCACTTTGGAATGCACCCTGCAGTCCTTCCTGAACGTCGTCTTCCTGCCACCTCCTACCATTTTGACATTAGGAGTTTCACCCAGAATAATGCCATAGCCTTGCTAGCCTCTTTGACGATAAGAACAGCCTATTGTTTTGGATTGTTGGTGCTACAACAGTCGGTTTGACCATCCGGCATAGCATGATGTACCTCCACTGTCGGAGGCAGCATGGCTATGAATTCCAGTTTGCTGGGAATGACTGGTAGGAAGAGTGCTGTTGTGCTCAGGTCCTACTTGTGGGGCTTCCCACCCCGCAATTGTCCACCCACCATATGAACATGGGCCTTTGGCCCAATCTAGCACGCTCTTCCTGCATTCTTAGGATGGTGCCACAAAGGGAGCACAATTCATACAGATTGTTGTGGAGATGTGAGGCCATAACTCTGAGGTGCAAGGCCAATATTGGAGCTGTATATTGTCATCCCACAAAGCTTTGGGGATAAATTAATGAGAAGACAGAACAATTTTTAGGTCAGCTGTAACCAGCTCTTTCCTGCCCTGTGCCTGAGGTCATTGCAGAGTGCTTAGGAAACTTTGATCAAGGAGGGTAAAATTAGAAGATTCTCCAGTAAGGATCAATGTTTTGCATTAGGGTCTGTGTGCATTTTGTGATCCTGCAGAAGTGAAACAACAACAACAACAACACATACATACATGCATACATACATGCATACATACATACATGCATACATACATACATACTTAAAGCCCGGTCTGACCTCTGAGAACTAGGTGCCATATCTGCAATGTTCAGTTCAAGTTAAATGGCAGCCCCTGACCTTTTCCAAATCTGCCTTACTTGTTAATGTGATCTTTCTGAGCATCACTTCCTCAATTTATTGATGCATTTATCTTTCTTGGCAGTGTGTTCCTTACTAACAAGCTTAAAGAAAGGTGATCCAGGTCCTAGTGCTAAAGTAGGAATGTCTGAGAGGCAAATAGGTCATAATTAGCATCAGAGCCAGAACAGACAACACATTTTGTCATCTATGGTATCACAGTACCATGAGTAGCTGACAGAGGAAATTTTGCCCTCTTGTGTTATTTGTTTCAAGATAGACATTTTGCTCAGAATCTCACCAATATTCATGCAGCAAAGGAGTATGACCAGTGCTATTTTTCTAGAAAAAATGGTGCCAGAACTCACTATGAACTCCTCCTTTGTTCTCCTAAAATGGCAATGGCACCTACCGGAGAGGTGCCAGGACTGAGTTCCAGTGAGTTCCAGCTGAAAAAAGCCCTGAGTATGACTTAGGCAGCTGTGATCCTACAAACACTTATCTGAGAGAAAGTCCCATTGAACTCCATAGGAATTACTTCTGCATATACATGAATAGAATTGCACTGTTAGGCTGTAATCTTATGCATACTTTCATTGGAGAAAGCCCCAGTGGGGTGTCAGTAAACATGTTGAATTGAACTCTTAATCTTAAAAAGGGATGTCCACTGGGGTGCCCTCCAGATGTTGTGAACTACAACTCCCATCAGCCCCAGCTAGCATGGCCAATGGTCAGGGATTATGGGAGTTGTAGTCCCCAGCATTGAGATGAGGGGAGACCCACCAGATTGGCTATCCCTGATCTAAAACTAGCCTCAACTACCTTTTTGGCTTTGAGAATATTCTCAAAGAAACATTAGGAATATAGTCAAAACAAAAACAATTCCTTCCAGTAGCACCTTAAAGACCAACTAAGTTAGTTCTTGGTATGAGCTTTCGTGTGCATGCACACTTCTTCAGATACATGCACATGAAAGCTCATACCAAGAACTAACTTATTTGGTCTTTAAGGTGCTACTGGAAGGAATTTTTTTTGTTTTGACTATGGCAGACCAACACGGCTACCTATCTGTAACTGTATTAGGAATATAGATGAGCATCACCAACAGAATTTTAATTATCCCCCTAAAAATAGAAAACTTGGTGAAAACAGTGTCTTTTGGTGGGTGGGTGTGTTAATTTTATGTATTTACTGAATTTCAAGATTGCTCTTCTTTATCCATAGCAATCACAAGGCCATTTCCCACCAATTTCTCCAGCAATCTTAACACACATGGTCAATAATAAAAGCACATTTTCATCTCAAAACACAGCAGTGTAGAGTAATAACCCAGGGTTTTGAACAACTAAATTACCTTCCATCAACAGAGTCCTATATAAAACACTCAATACTGTCCTTTCACATTGATTTTTTGGGTGGCTTGCAAGACTGCAAATAATATAAAACATAACAAAAAAGAGAAGAAAAACAACATCATGAAGCAACAATTAAAAGCATCATAGGACCAGCTCAGTTTTTTAAAAAAGCTGGCATTTGAAACATGGTCCTGAAATGTCTGTCTTTCACACATCATCTTATTAAAATTTGCAAAGAAAAACAAAGCGTCAGGGCTGAAGAGTTAAACACTCCCCTCCATCCTCTTTATTTCTTCTCTGCTTCAAACTGCCCCTCCCTACAAGTACTTTGCAAAGGTGAAGGGGTTGCTCATGGCTGTACCATGATGTGTGGTTGGTCCCTAAGCAGTGGTGCATTGATGGTGGCTGCTGCCCCTGGGCAGAAGAGATTTGCTCCACCCATTCAATAATAAATCCTACATGTCTACTCAGAAATAATTCCTGCTAGATGGAATGTGGTTTGCTCTCATGTAAAAAGTAAAGGTAAAGGGACTCCTGAAATTAAGTCCAGTCACAGGTAAGTGGGGCTAAAACTGTGTTGAATCCTGAATAGGATCAATCTGGGCTGGCTTCCTCCTCCACGCAGCTTTGGTGGCAGGAGAGAGAAGCAGACTGCCTGATAAACACAAAAATCCTCTCCTCCCTCCCTCCCTCTCTCTCTCTCTCTCTCTCTCTCTCTCACACACACACACACACACACACACAGAGCTCCCCCCACCAACTCAACGGTGTTGCAGCTTGGATGAAAATAATCTACTGGAGTTTCAAAGCAAATTTTTAAAAGCATTTGGACTTGGGGAAAGGGAGTGTGTAACTTGCTTTATTTTATTTTGGGGAAACCTCATTAACAGGAGACTAACTTTCTAGAAGGCACAGGTGTGTGTGTGCAGGGAAGTGAAACTAAGGGGCATGTTCCAGTCAAAGATAATCAACTTTAAAACCCTATTGAAATGAATGGCATGTGAAAAATGCTTAATTTTGGCTGGATCATGTCCTGTGGTTTATGCCATGGGGCAGAGATAACTGAAACTGCAGTCTATTCAGCATAGTGGACATCAAAAAGGGAGGGAAATAATCAGGGGGAGGCTAGATGCAGAGGCTAGAAATTTATTTTCTTTGATGGGGCTGCTCCTTCACGCTGCTCCATGCTATTCTCTAGGTCAGGGGTCAGCAAACTTTTTCAGCAGGGGGCCGGTCCACTTTCCCTCAGACCTTGTGGGTGGCCGGACTATATTTTGAAGGGGGGAGATGAACGAATTCATATGCCCCACAGATAACCCAGAGATGCATTTTAAATAAAAGAACACATTCTACTCATGTAAGAACACGCTGATTCCCGGACCGTCCGCGGGCCGGATAGAGAAGGCGATTGGGCTGGATCCAACCCCCAGGCCTTAGTTTGCCTACCCATGCTCTAGGTCTTACTTCTAAGTAGACATGCAAATGATCTGGCTTCTCTTACAATCTGCAGTATGTGGGGAATAATTGTGACCTACTTTACCAGGGTGCTGTAAAAAGGTAAGAGACTGAGATGAAGTGTGTGGAGCATTAGAAATGATAATGTAAACATAGAAAGCATCACCTTCCTAGAGAAGAGAAACAAAGTCTGACCTGTCAGCTCAAAAGCATGGGGGAAAGGAGAAAGGACAGGCCTGCTGCTGCTGCTGCCATGTACATACAAGCTTCCTCCAGCACGTTGTACTTGGTGGGACAGCACTATAGGATGTCATCTCTCAAATGAAAGCAATTTAGCTCACATGTGCAGTGGCTGCTCAGCATAAAATAACCCAACATGGAATGAATCTCAGGTAATTTATGTCACCCAGTCAGTGCATGCAAGCTGAATTGCAATCACTCCTATTCAGGAGCCTGCGGTGCATATCTTCCCATGAATCCCAAACTGACTAGCCTAGGAGCAGGGTGGTCTGCCGGACAATGATGCAAACAAACATGGCCTCCTCAAATTTGTCCCCCGGTGCAACTGTCTGGTTTCCCCTCCTGCAAATACTGGTACGTCTCTGTCCCTAAGGGAAAAAATGATTCACAGAAAGCCCTCCTGCTCCTCTCTTGTGGTTCTAGATGGCGGACCACTGCCAACAGGCAGCTCAGCAAAATTTATTCTGCTATGAATAAAGTGAACCTGAAACAAAAGCAACAACAACAAAGAAGAACAGAAAATTGCACGCTTTTCAAATCAAGACATTGATTTCTCTGAAGTGGCACTTTGCCATCTGTAGCGCGTTCTATGTTCTGTGAATATTTTTTTCCAGTAAAATAAGGAGTCGTTTTCAAAACGAGAGAGGGAGAGAGAGAAGCAGCTTCATTTATTTTACTAATGCCTGGTTATTTAGTATTCCTTTTGTGTATATTCAAGGCTCTGCCTGTATTCAGTAACTGACACATGGCTGTGTTTTCCAGTTTTCCTTATCTCTTAATAAACAATTCCACACTCCTGGACTGGATTGGTTGAGTTTTAAGTCTGCCTCCTCTGATGAATTTTCCTAAATGTATTTGGGTGAATAACCGAAGCTAAAGAGAGTGCAGGTTCCCAGATGGAACTCTTCAGAATAAGGCCACTCAGAAACACTTATTCTCCTATAAATAAATGAACCTTAACATGCATACAAAAACCTAAAAAAAAGGGGAAAGCATAAAATAGCGAGGTTGGGGGGGGAGGGGCAGAACCAAGGCATTGATTTCTCTGAAGTGGCACTTTGATGCTTTGCCATCTGTATTTTCTCTATAAATGTACAGTAGTGCCTTTGCATTCAATGATTTTTTAAAATATATATATATACATATTTTTAGCAGGTTCATTTTGAAATGTCTTGTTTATTTGAACACTTAGGGGGAAAGAACACAGGGTAGTCTTCTTTAGTAGTGGAATATGAAGGAAGGCTTTGGTAACTACAGAAGCTGGGTATTCAGTACAGGATAAGAAGCTAATCCTTAGATGATATGATGGGATACTTCAATGGATTGTGAGGGCATTGCTTGTGGGTTGCCTGGGTGCCAGTAATGGATGTGAAAGATTACAGGGGCAGATGTCAGTGGATCTTCAGTGACACTTTGGCATATTTCATTATCAGCTCTAGTAAGCAAAACATCTGAGAATTCTAATGGTGGTGCTTTCACGAGGTGTCAACATTACTAATGGCTACTATTGATTCTTGCTTTCTCATAGCAGAGTTAGCACATCGGCGATTGGGTCAAGCCCATTAAAACTTGGTTAGATTTACCTCTGCCACCACCCACCTTTAAACAAATGTTCGCCACAAAAATACTTAGGCTGGACTAAATCACAGGCAGCTAGCTTTACAAACAAGTGAATATTTTACTCACAGCGTTACAGCAAAAAAGGTTCCAAACAACTTTTAAAAAGAAAATAATTTGGTTTCTTTACAAAACCAATCTTGCAATCTTCAGGTTAGCAAAGATGCAGGCTTTAAAATGTCATTTTAGAGAGATTCAGTTCACTTGCAGGGAGCCATGGCCACATGACTCCTTGTTCATTTGTTCCAGGAAGAATGAAGCAGGGGATACTGAGAGGATGGGGAGCAGAGGCTGCTGAGAGCCTGCTAAACCTCACCTGCTCATGTAGCTAGAGCTCAGAGCTCAAGTTGACCTTTTCACGCAGGCAAGTGTGAGTCAATAACTGTATATTACAACATGGCCTCCTCCTAGGATTGTGTGTTCCCCTCTCCCTCTGTGTGGCCAGGAGGAGGAGTTCAAAAGCTTCTGCTTCCACACTGAACTCTGGTTAACGTTAATTATGGTTAGTTTAAGCAAGCTGCTTTCAGAAACCACAGTCTGAAGTTGGTTTATGTGGGAGAGCACCTGCTTTGTATGTGGAAGCTGCTTGGTTCAGACTCTCCAGCATCTCTAAGTAGGACTGGGAGGTAAGGTCGCTCATCTCGCTTTATTGGCCGAGGGAGCCGGCGTACAGCTTCCGGGTCATGTGGCCAGCATGACTAAGCCGCTTCTGGTGAACCAGAGCCGCGCACGGAAACGCCGTTTACCTTCCCGCCGGAGCAATACCTATTTATCTACTTGCACTTTGACATGCTTTTGAACTGCTAGGTTGGCAGGAGCAGGGACCGAGAAACGGGAGCTCACCCCGTCACAGGGATTCGAACCACCAACCTTCTGATCAGCAAGTCCTAGGCTCTGTGGTTTAACCCACAGCGCCACCCGCATCCCTTGGACTGGGAGGTACCCTGGTCTGAAACTGGCAATTGGGGCAGAGTCTACATTCCGCTGAAGCTGCTTGCCTACTCCAGCCCCCATTGCTTAGGGTGTATTTGTTTGTGTGCTGTGTATGCTCCATGAGATCATGTGCACACTAGCACGCAGCCATTGGAGGGATGGCAAACTTTCATTGTTTCCAGAGCACAATATTGAGCTAGATGGGCCAGTGGTCTGGCTTAGTATGAAGTAGCTTCGTATGTTTCTATGTAAACCAGTAGTATGGAGTCTTTGAGCCCAAATTTAGCAAAGATATTGCATT